TTTTTTTAACTTTATATTGGTCAGTCTAAACTCATGTGACTTGAATTTACGTGACTTGCATAATTAATAATTTTCAATTACGAGTACCTAACAACTACCCTATGAGAAACCAGATAATGAAAAAAAGGTTTAAATTTATTAATTAATTACAATAATGAATTCATAAAACTAATATTTATAAACTACATTAAATTTCCTTACAATGATAATACTCATTTGAAATATTTACTATCATTGTTATTTTCTTCATCCTATCTCAACTAATTTTTCGCTCAAATAATAAAGGCAAATATGTTAATTAATGACGTACAAGTCAAACCTCGTCACAGCGGACCTCACCACAGCGGATTTCTTGTTACAACAGATTTCCCCTTTTTTTAATTAAAAATGTTTGTCATAACGGATTTTATTTAACAAATTTGTTCCACAATGTTAACGGGGTCTTTCTATATGGCTACTAGTCTCATGACAGCGGATTCACGTGATATATAAATTATGAAATTACCAAAATTGATAAATTAATAATCAAATAGATTATTTTTAATCAAAGGTCAGTATTAAAATAAAGCAATTAAACAAATAAACAAACAATTTTATCCATTCAAAGATTTGTGAGTAACAGATTTTCAAAATAAACCAATACAAACAATTGATAGGTCCAAATGTTTGCCAAGTTTCTAACAATAAACAAAGATTTATTTGTCCAAATGTTTGCGGGTAACAACCTTTTCCAAATTTCTAAATAAATCAATAAATAAATAAACAAAAAATTGATAGATTATTTGTCCAAATTTTAAAAATATATTAATAATCAACAATTGATAGATTATTTATCCGAATGTGTGCAAGTAACAAAATTTTCCAAGTTTCTAAAATAAACGATTGATAATAAAGTCAATAGATTATAAAGAATTTAAAGCATTTAAATCATTGAAAAGAAAAATGGAAAAACTAATACAACCAAATATTACAACAAATAATTTTAATTTCCGCATGTATTCATTTATTTCTGTATTATTAAAAAAATTTTTGTCGATCATGATCATCACCATAGCAGATTTCTTGTCACAACGGATTTTTTGGCTGGTACCATGAATCCACTGTGATGAGGTTTGACCGTATGACAAAACTTTTGGCTTTAGTCATTGACGTAACTAAAGTATTGACTAAAGGTAGTTTCTCACTAGAGCCATTTTGACGATTTGACTAAAGTAAAAGCCCTTGACGTAAGTAAAACCACTTGGCGTAAGTAAAAACACTCGGTACAAGTAAAAACGTTTGATACAAGTAGCAATAATGATAATGATAAAATAGGATTATTAAATTTGATATTTTTCAAATTTTTGACTTTTGAAGTTAACTACGCGTAATAGTAATATTAATAATATTAATAATGTGTTTGGGCTGTTTTTATTATCCGAATTCGAAACACACATAGGTTGGTCAATATTGGTATGTAGAACGACCTATGAGACAGGTTTGGTGCAGGTGTTTGTAAGTCTTAATTTTGAAGGATAAAAATAGTAAACAAAGAAAAAAAGAAAAATTATTTATTGTTAAAGCATTGAATTTTTGTTTATGTCAAAGTTATTCATTAAGTAATTCAAGATTTAAGATTAATGTGAAGAGGGCGCACACTACCCCACATGACGACAGTAGCAGCATTCTAATTTGCCAGTTTTTTCCGGCAGAATTTTATTTCCGACGATCATTTTAGAGTTGTTTGTTACACATTATTCAGAGAAAAAGCCACTCTACACCAAAGTCAAATTTATATTTTTATATAATGTCACATGTTAAACTATTATCATCATTATCAAGTGAAAGAAAGGAATTTGTATATAAAATTTATAATGAAATGCTTAATGATGCTAATGCTAACGTTAATTCTAATGAAGAAAATATAAAAGATTATTTTTTTTCATTAGTCAAAGACAAGGAGGAGCTTTCTGAAAATGAAAAAACATTTTGCGAAGAAAGGTTTATTTATCAGTTGGAATTAAAAAATGCAAGAGATAAAAAAGGCAAACCAAAAGAATGTAACAAGTGTAAGTTAACAAGGTACTCTGATTAGTATAAAATTACAGAGTCTCTTCACCACTTGGACATCTGGGAATAACATAATTGATGATTTTATTCAAAAATATCAAATGAAATCATCCTTGCCAGACTATATTTTAGAATGGATACCTTTGAGCAATTTGAAAAAGTAACAAAGTTGACAGAAGGTGGATTTATTTCAATTTATACTGCTACATGGACAAGAGGAGCTATGACGAAAATAAAAAGGAATTTAGTTATTTAGGAGGTAATGGACAATTAGTAGTATTAAAAAGTTTAAACAATTCAAGTAATCCAGGAAAAGCCTTTTTTGATGAGGTTGGTTCTTGTCATTTAAAACAATACTGTATTATATAATAAATATTAATTGATTTCATATTTATTTTCAGGTAATAAGTTATTTTGAAATTAAATCACATATGATTAATCCTTGCTTGGTATAACTAAACTCCCAGATAATGGGAAATTTAAGGGGTTATTTACAAAAAAATCATTTAAATTTAACATTAAAAGATAGAATTAAAATCTTTGATTCTTTATACATTGCATTACATCAGATACATTGAAAAGATTTAATCCATTGTGATTTACATAGTGGTAATATACTTGTGGCAGGAGGTAATTGTTATATTACAGATTTGGGGTTATGTGGACCAGTTGATGAAAAGTCATCAAATAAAGTCTATGCAATTGTATCATATGTTGCACCCGAACTACTTAGGGGCAATATCACAAAGAACACAAAAGAAACAGATATCTATAGTGTTGGATGTTAATGTGGGAAATATTTGCAGGTCATCCACCATTTGACAATAGAGCTCACAATAATCGTTTGATTTTTGATATATGTGAAGGTTTACGACCACCAATACTACCTGGAATGCCTGATGATTACGTGCAAATGATGCAGAGGTGTTGGGATGTGGATCCATCAAAAAGACCAACTAATGGAGAGCTTTTCGAATTTGCTATAAATAAGTATAATGAAATTTTTAAAAATAAAAGTTTAAAAAATAATAGTAGCAATAATAGTTTAATAAAAAGATCATTTAAATTTTCTAAAATCAAAAAAACATGAAATTGATTTTAATAATGATAATGGAAACAGTGGTGGTAATGGTAATGCTTTGCAACAAGCACACAATTCACATCCAGATGCATATCATACAAGTAGGATATTAGATGAAGAGATTGCTAAATCTAAAAGCTTAAAAATTTATACAAGTAATGATAGCTCAGTAAATAGTCTTGATTTTAGCTCTTTTCTCCAAAATGCCAACAAAGGTGAATAAAATTTTCATTATTAATTAATTAATTTGAAATTATTATCCATTGCTGACAATATTTTAAACATTGGATTCTAGTAATGATAATAAAGAAAGAGTTGATGAATGACTAATTTAATCTCGACTATAAATTTATTCATAAAAGATAAATAATTATAATCCTTATTTAAAGCTAAATTATTTTAGAATAATAAACTTTTTACAATTAACTTTTGAGTTACTCTTGTGATTTAATTGCAATAATTCGGCGCTTATCATTATTTAATTTACAAATTTACTTTGGTTCTTGTCTGTATTTATTGACTGTTTGCAAAATCGCTTTAGTATATTTGCAAAGTAGCTCAAGTATCTTCGTTTATCAGCCTTACATTTACGACTACAATAATACTATCAGTACTTTCAATTAACCATTGGACGATACCTCATTAACACTCACTAATAACCAATGTTAACCCTAACCTTGCAAATAAAATGTGACTTTTTACCAAAGCTCCACAATTGTTATACTTTACCAAGGCACTACTACATTTGTTGCTTTTATCAAAACGCTTTAAACAAAGAAAATAAAGACAATGTTTTTAATTTTATTTTATTTTTATTTTTAAAAGTTTAATGATTAATTTTATTTAATAAAAATAATGATTCTATCACAGAGCTTTATTCATTGGAATGTTGATTATCTATTATTTTCCTCTACGAGGACTCGAAGTTATGCTTTTTCGAGCGAAGACCAGAAGTTATCCTTAATGAAATTTTAGTAACTTGATAAATCAATATTGATATAAGAAATGTTCGTGGAACTGAATTTGTATTCAACAAAAGAAAAACTTAGCTCCCGGGAACAATAAGCTTTTGTATTTTATTAGTATTAGTCTTTAAAGCAATTTTATTTACGTAATTTTTGACTTAATGAAAGCGAATTATAAATTTAAAAATATATATTATAACAATAACAATAACAGAAAAAGTTAACAATTTTCATACTATGGTGCTGAATATTCTTTATTAAAAAGTTTCGGAAGTTACCACAGTACGTATTTGGCTTCATGGTACTGTTAATTTAAAAAGTTATAGATACAGTCCCCCAAAAAAGTAATGGCGGGGTGTTTTTTTATTATTAAAAAATTTTTTATATAACAATTATAAAAAAAAAAATTATTTTTAAAAAATTTAAAAGTAAAAGATTATATTTTCGAAAGATTAGAATATAATGAATTTTCAT